TCTGAGTGAAACTTGCTTGCACAAGACTTGCAATTCAAGGCGTAGTCCATTGTTCAAGTTGTGAGTAAGTGTAGCTTGGAGTTCTAGGTGGATGTTCAACCTTAATCGGTCTCCATCGAACCGCTGGTATATAAACAGTACATTGAAAAAGGCAAATCTCAGTGGGATTTTGAGATTTGGTGGGGGATTGTTGGAATTAATAGATGGGCTAAGGCCCATTCGAAGATTAATTCTTTAGAAAATCACAAAAGCCCACCTCATGGGATGGCATGCATGTGGAGTTTAGTACCACCTTGTTATTCTAGGAGAGGGGGACCTCCTTAAAAGGGAGGATGCCCTCCTAGCCATTTGAAGCATGTGTGGTGGAGAGAAGAGGAGAAACACACATGCGCGCTCGCTCGCCTGGCCTGGCCTGGCAGGTGCGCTTGCACGACGTACGCGTCGAATGGTCCGCAAAATTGGCTCCTCACCCTTGCGCAGATGCAGCCTCCTTTTGCAGTTTTTTTTGCTGCAGGAAATTCGGATTTGTTTTGTTTTGGAAACGCTCCGAAAAATCCGGTGCGTGAAAACGGCGTGGAGTCCGGATAGGTTACGCGCGACTTATCCGATTCGGTTTACGCGGGCGCCCTGATCAGGCGACCTATCTCTATATAAACCGAGCCGCCGCCTTCACGCAACACACGCGAAATCAATCTAGGGTTTGCCTCCTACTCTGTACTGCGCCGTCGCTTGTAGACTACTCCACCCCGCTCGCCGGCGTGCACTAGCGATCGGGAGAGCAGGTCTCCGGAACCTCTGCCTTCGACGTCCTGCACCGGGAAAATGCGGCAATAAGGTTTTTGGGAAGCGCTTCGTGCGACTGCTCCCTGTTCATCCGCAACGGCTTGCCTTCCTCTCCGCTCGCGTGCTTCGCGCCTTCGTCGACGCTCACAACCGCGAGTAGTTCCTGCCGAGCAACCGGTCTTTCCGCCACCTCGGTACGTGTTCGACATGTTGCGCATATTTGATCTATTCATGTTTTACTGCTTAGTTTACATGTGTAGATCTAATGATGCGTTCAATCTAGTTTACATCTGCAATGTCATGATTTATTTATAGAATAAATTAAATCATTATGTGCTTATAATTTCAACAGGCAAGGCGCTGGCATGGAGATGAAGCCCATGTCCTAGTAAAGAACAAAGGAACCTCAGGTCTCACTGAAGACCCTAATGCCTCGCCTACAAAGAGCATGCTGGAGGAGACCACTCACATGCAAACTGGGCTCAACAACTCTTTGTCATCAATGCCAGTGAGGGGAGAGGCTCGCTAGCATCACGGGCAGGCGAGGTTGGTGGCTGCTAGAGCTTGTCGGCAGTGCCGGTGAGGAGGCACGGGTGGTGGCTCATTGCCCTATAGTCTCCCCGTCCCCTTTCGGTTTCCTATCCCCATGGTCACTTTGACACTTCTTTTTCTCTCTCGCCTTTGTTTGCCCTCGCCGAGTGCCCTTCGCTAGAGCGGTGCCTTCGACACTCTTGCTTTTCTCCACCCGCTTCGCTTTCGTAGCTTCGGATGACTCCATGGAAACCTTCTTCGGCCTTCGCTTCGGGCACAAACCTAGGCACAGTTGGAGACAACTTGAAGGCTTTCCTGGGGAAATCGACCGTTCAAGAAAATGACATCACTAGCCTCGTGGCGAAGGGGCTGACCAAGGAAGGGCATGGCAGGTCCACATGCGAAGACATGGTGCCACACAAAGGGCAATGACGACATGGTTGTCTTCATCACATATCTAGATGCGGAGCTTTTCTTCTGCTGCAACAACGTCCTCCCCGCCATCCTCCAGAAGTTCAAGCTTGAGCTGCCGTAGCTTAGTTCAACAACGCTCGTTCGGGTCACCAGTTTCGACTGGATGTGCCGCACATCTGACTTGTGACTCCTCCGCTGACCTCTTCGTCGTCATTTTCAACCCGGCAATACTTCTGAAGATGGTGTGCACCCTGGCTGAGTCAAAGAAGACAGTCTTCGACAGTCTGAACTTTAGCCCACACACGAATAGGATGGACATGTGGCCGACCCCTGCGTCCGTGCTAAAGTGGGAATGACTGTGGATGGAGCAGTGGTTCTACCATAAGATTCCATACCGCACCAAATCCGAGGAGCTTGCTACCCTTCGGACGCTGTTGTTGACTTGAAAAATCAACGCGCAGAGGCCTGGGAGATCTGCTTAACTCTAGTGCAGTTCCGAGAAAATTGCCTTCGGGTTCTGAGCGTGCCAGATGGTTTGATCCTGAACCAACACAGAAAACAACAAAGAGTTAAATCAATCAACGATAGCCGATCGGCAAGATTGCCGATGACATATCGTTAGGGGCCACGCCAATGCAACTCGAGTTGGATCGGCGGAGGCATGTAAAAACTTGGAGATTGTTCGATATACTTGGTCGGCTGTAGATGTCAGCGGCACGTAATCCATCAGTTGGGACACGCTTAAATCGAGCTACTGGGATAGATCGGTGGTAGCACCAAGACAATATAAATCGCTCTATATCTAAACGTGCTCCAAAGAAGGGATTATGCGCGCTCACAGCATAGCCGATGGGGTAGACCTAACCTGTATCGGCTAGTACTCCGATACCGCCTTATACCAAGATACCAGCACAAACGAAATATAAAAAGCTAAGGCCAACCTAGCGATTGGGAAGCTTAATATACTTCAAGAGGACGGGATCTTGATATAAGGGCAGATTTAGACAATTTAGAACCAAAAAAGGAAGAAAAAAAGCTAAATCAGGTAAGATCGGCTGAAACCCCGATACTACCTCTATTAGCAGTCAAAGAAAAGGTTAGATGAAACGCTTCAAGACAGTACTTAATAGATCGAACTTAACCAATGCAGTATTAAGCGTGAAGATAAGCATAAGATCTAATCAGACCGATGATAGCTCACTCGAGATGGTGGATATACCGCATAATCTAGCTCAATATCGAGGCCTAGACCTATCGGCTGTTTTTGATGATAGAAGCTAGCCGATGAAGCCCAGATAACGAGATCGATCTAGATTATGCGATATATATGATTAGAGTGTCATATATGATCGACCTATCGGCGGCTTGCATGGATAGGATTAGAGTGTCATAAAGATGTAAGCACTAATCCCGAGAACGCAAGCCGCCATGACAAGATTTACCTTTTCGTCGGAGATCGAACCCGATGCAGCCCAACTCGAAAGTAAAAACTCATCGAAACTATGAAAGTAAAATGGTGACGATGCGCCGAAGTGTATTGAATTGTCGTCCCTTGATTACACTGGGTCGGGCCATATTTATACCCGAAGTACATGATAGGTCCTTGCTGGACACGACTCTTATCTCTAACATAACTTAGAATATGAATGAGCCCTTCAGGTGGGCCCTTACCAAAATATCTCTAAGGAAGATAGAAAATGTCCTAATTAATAGATACAATTGCCTTTGTTTGGACTCCTATCCTTGTGTGGCAATAGCTATGGAGGTATTCATCCAAACCCGACGACGATTCTGGGGCCACCTTTCCGGAGATTGGCGGCGTCGGCTTGACTTCGTCGGACCCGGTGCTTAGCCGATATGTGGTAGCCGATGTTGCCGTAGCCGATTTGAGCGTTCGTAGTCAGCTTTTACTCTGCTTTCCCGAATGTGCTTTTTCCAAAATCGGCTTCGTCTCCAACTTCGAATCCAACCCATAGAGCTACCAAATTTGGTCGTCAACAGTTGTTAACAACGAAATTTGGCATCAGACTCGGAGAAGAAGGAAGAAGATCGAAGCGGATTTGGTGTTGAATCGAACTGAACTTGGAGTCGGACTGCACATCAGCTAGATACCGTATCGGCTGAAAACAGAACATAAAGTTGATCAAGGTTAATGAAGCCGATGACCGATACAGCCGATATAGCATGACTTAGCTCGACAAGGGCCTAGATTGGGATAACTGTCATTGCTAATTAGAGATGGAGCTCGATTAAGGCAATTGTATCTATTAATTAGGATATTGAGTCGGTTTGATTAAAGACTTGGTAAGATATCGCCTTATATGGTCTTGTTTGTATTAAAGGTTTGAGTCGTGTTCATAATGGACTAAGTTTATACTCGGGGTATAAATATGAACCCCATAGTATTGTAATAGGAGAGCAAATCCTACACAACTTCATTGTATCGCCACCCTTTTACTTTTCTCGTTTTCCGGCGAGTCCTTCGCAAGAGGTAACCCGTTTCAATGGCCCGCGCTATTGCGGCTAACATGTCGCTTTAGATGCGTTAGGCTCGATATCGTGAGTCATTGCTATCATATGTTTTAGTTAATCTATTCTTAGCTTCTCAATTTAGCTCTATCGGCTGCTGCTCACTTTAGGGCTTATGTTGGTTTCGGTTAAATTGTCTTGCTAGATTAGATTAGCTAAGACATCTACCATCCTGAAAAGTGTCTAACTGCTTGATTATCTAGACTGCATGTTTCTTTTCATACTTTGAGATACATCATCCCTAGTCGTGCTTAGAACCATGCAAACTAGCCCACGATTAGGCATAATAAGGATAGTATCGGGATTTCAGCCAATCTTACCTAATACGCGTTTTTCACCTCCTGTTTCATGTATATTCACTACTTATACAGATGGATCGTTTTATATAAGCATACCAAGTTTTAGTCCGTATTTCTACACTTTCATGCTTGATTTATGTATGATATGTTTGTTGACGGTCACTATAGACAAATTTCGACCGTCAATATAACTAAAATAATGGTGAATTAGCTATGCTTACAATGCATATTTGCTTTCAAATAATATAGTTCTACGAGAATAACATGTTGCACGGATTTATCTATAACTTAATATAAATATTTGGATTTTTCCGTCATCACATCGTAGTAATCGCGGGTTTTCGTCCGGTCATGCATTTTTTCTCCGTCATTAATCGCGCTAAATTTAACTCATCCGATCTGATTCATCCGCCTGCATCCGATTCTGTTTTGGTTCAGTCCATACACAAGCCCAAACTGGTTTCAGTATTCTATGTCCATCTACTGTCCATCTACAAGCCCATACACCAATTCTAATCTAATCTAATTTGTGCAGTATTCTACATCTACAAGCCCATACTCACACCGGTTCTGATTCATCCAGAATTCAGCCCACGTATAAGCCCATACACACCAATTTTGATTTGTTGAGTCAGATTATATCCCTGTTTTTTTTCGCTATTTTTAGCGCTACAAGACCTATCCCGAGTCAGATTCTATCCCGGTTAGCGCTACAAGGCCTATCCCGAGTCAGTTTCTATCCCTGTTTTCTTTTCGCTATTTTTAGCGCACCCCACTAACGTGATTGTACAGATTTTTTCGCAGGCTAAAATACACAAATTCAATTACAAACAATAGAAATAATAGAATTGAAGATCGCAAGGCTCTTCGTCGAGGATGTCAAGGCACCTCCAATCAATGTCGATTCCAGGTTATCAATGAACTCAACCCTGAATGCAATTTCAATTTCAAGTTAATTACATAAAAGGAAATCAACAGCAAATATAAATACTCTCAAATCAACAACAGTGACAGTCTACTACTGATTTAGACTTGGTTTAGACTAGAAGCATTTTCAGACCAAACCACCAAATTGGGCCAACAAACCTCACTGGCAATATAGATTTCACACGGTTTACACAACAATTCATAAGCACTCACACATCAATATCAATATTAAACACAAACTAAACATAATTGAACTCCGCAACGAATAGGCATAAACCAATCAATTTACAACCAGCAATTGCATAACGATTAGAGGGGTGTGGGAATTGAACTTACCATATATCTTACCTATTGACCATGTATTTTCTTCCTAGGCTCCTGGTGTACTGCCATACCCACCATCACCCCCATAGCTGCCCAAGTAACCACTAGCACCAGCCATCCCATTGCTACAAAAGCCTTTGGGTTTAGTGAACCTAGATTTGTGACCTGAATGCAATTTCAATTTCAAGTTAATTATATAAAAGGAAATCAACAACAAATATAAATACTCTCAAATCAACAACAGTGATAGTCTACTACTGATTTAGACTTGGTTTAGACTGGAAACATATTCAGACCAGACCAAATCCTCCTGCCACCACCAAAATCCAGAGCATTACAAACAGTTAAGAGGAGAGAGAGACAGGGAGGATGGAGGAGGCACTAAGGATTCAATAACTAAATAGAACTAAATATTGCTCTCAATTAATTATTGAGCTTAGATAGTTAAGACACATTCTATACAGATTGAGCGGATGCTAGACCGTGAGTTGAAAGAGGAGTAGTTTGGTTACAGACTTGCAGGCAAAAGAAGCATGGAGAAACAAAAAAAAAATCTGCTTGGAGAGGTCTCCTTCCATCCTTAGCTCCGTAGCACATCGTATTCTCACATGAATATGCCAAATTGCCAACCTGTTCTCTAGATTGCCATGGTTTTGCTGCCTGTTTGCACATCGTATCCTGATTATCAAAAACCAATTCGGATACATATCACTTGCATTAGTTCCTGACCTGGTATCTACAAGCCCTTCTCTTGCATGCAAACAGGGATCTCAGAAGTTGAGAAGATATAAAGGAAAAATACATATAGCAATCATAACCCATTCAAGATGAGAAAAGTAACTCATAATTAACACTAATCAAAATCTATATGTCCAGTTCAACTTTTTTCGCTGAAGCATCACTTGCATCCTAAAAAAAATTAAAGTACCTGGGCGGCAAAGGCTGGGAGTGACGGCGAGTCAAGGATGTCGGTCGCTGGCAGAGGGGGTGATGGAGGCGACGTCCAGCGATCACCAGCGGCGGCACGCGTGTGTGGGGATTAGGGGCAGCTCAAGAGTGATGTAGATCTTCTCGGCGCTGTCAGTGGCTTCGGTGATGGAGACCAGAAGACGCAGACGGTCTTGTTGTGGACATCGACACCTCTTGAAATCCATCGCCATCATCACCGTAGGAGAGGCCGCCGGGTCCGTCCCTCCCGTCGTCGCCGGCGGCGGATCCGTGCGAGAGGGAGGGGGGCGGAGAGACAACGGGAACCATGCGAGAGGGGAAGAGGTCACCGGATCCGCCCCTCCCGTCGCCGCCGCCGACGGATCCGCACGACAGAGGGGCGGAGAAACGATGGGATCCAAATGAGGAGGAGTGAAGCCGGCCACAGGATCCGTGGAGAGGAAGAGGTCGTTGGATCCGCCCCTCCCGTCGCCGGCGACGGCGGATCCGCGCAACAGTGGGGCGGAGAGACGACAGGATCCAGGCGAGGAGGAGTGAAGCCGTCCCAATCCGGAAATGCGTCATCTAAGAAGCTAAATCCAGCAGCAGCTAGGGGGAAGAGAAGGCATCAACAGCAGCAGCAACGACGGCTTGGAGCAGCAGGTGGTGGCATGGTGGATCTGGTTGGCAACAACTACTAGAGCAAAGGTTAGTGGAGAGCAGGAGAGTGTATTCCTCAGATGAGGATGGGGCAAGAGACACAGGAAGACGGGGAGAGAGAGAGAGAACGAGAGAGTGGTGTGCAAGTGCAACAGCTCTCATTTTCTCTGACCTCCTCGAGCTATCCAGAAAATGATAGCTGGCAGCTGGTCAGGATGGTGGTGCGCAACAGCTCAATCTGGTATGACCTCCTCACTATTTTGCTTTTTTTAATATTAACATAAAAACCATCAATTCTTAACTTCACTATTTACTGAGACAAAAATAATCAATTTTAACAAAAGGTTATAAAGGTTTAAAAAGGAAAATAAAATGCAAAAAGGAATAAGTTGTTTTCCCTTTTTCTCCATCCACTTTTTTCGCCACCTTTTCTCCGTGTTTAACTTTATCCACCGCGGCATATTAGGTTTGGGTACTATATATCAACCACACAACACATGACTAGTTTATAAAACTATATCCACCGCGATATTACCTGATGCAACGCACTAGCATTTTACTCCAATCACCACCGATGGTAGATCCGCGCGAGAGGGAGGCGGAGAGACGACGAGATCCGTGTGGGAGGGGGAAGAGGTTGCCGGATCCGCCCCTCCCGTTGCCGCCAACAACGGATCCGCACGAGAGGAAGACAGAGAAACAACGGGATCCATGCGGGAGGGGAAGAGGTCGCCGGATCTGCCCCTCCTGTAGCTGCCAACTGTGGATCTATGCGAGAGGGAGGCAGAGAGACGACAGGATTCAGGCACCATTAACGGCTCAACGCGAGCATCAACGATGGCTTGGAACTGGTGGTCAATCTGGTCGGCGACAACTAAAGCTATGTTACGAAGCTAGATACAACGAGTGAGTTTTTTGTTATTATTTTTTATTGTTGACATCAAAATCACCGGAAAGTTTCACTCTAATATTTGTTTGAGATAAAAAAAATATTGATTGTAAAAAAAACTGCGTGCTATCATCCACATGTCACATGACCGGTCTCAACGTGAGTCCACATGATTTTAAGAACAAGACACATGCTTGCAACGCGAGAGTTGACCGAGAAAGCACACGTGACCAATACGAGGCTATGAGTAAATATCTAAAAGTATTTTTTGATCCATCCTGATTATTATTGGTATTATTTTTGTTAATCCAACATTTTTTGTCCATTGCCTCTTGCATGAAAGTGACCACGGCATTGGGCTTCAGACTAATTCATCAGGTACATCGTTCATATTTACACTTACACGTGGAATAATGGTAAAAAAAAACCTCTGTCATTATTATTGACATACTAGATTGCTTAAAATATTGTTCAGTTAAACTTCAATCAATTGCCGTGACATTACCCGGTGCAACGCACGGGCATTTCACTAGTCAAATAAAATAAATAGAAAGTGAAGAAACCTCACTCCTAAGAAAACAAATGGATAACATGGGCCCACAAGTCAGGTGTAACCGTCGGAAACCAACTTTAACTACCACAACCGCCTAAAGAACCCACCTGTCACCCATTGTATAAAGGGGAGGTCGGTTGGAGCTGCCCCTGGTTCGGCCGAACCAGGGGCAAGCCGGCTCGGTCCTCCCCCTTCCACGTGGACATCCAGGATTGCTTCTCAATGACAGTTACAAGGGTAAAATGGATAATTCGCATGGAGTAACCGTCATACCGACCCTATAAAAGGAGAAGCTCACTTCACTTCTCAACACACTCAAGCAAGCTCAATTCCTCTTCATACATTAGTATTAGTAGTATAGTGCTAAGTGGAGTATCATAAAATAGTGTTCGGAAGTCCTCAGAGTCTTCGGAAGAGTTTTCGGTATGGCTCTAGCAGCTCTTGTAATCTCTTCTGTAGTATATATCTTCGGTACTTTGCTTAGTCTAAGTACTGGCCTTACTTTATATCCGCATTATGTTAATTGTGTGGGCAGCCTACCAGAGAGGTGTAATGGTGCGGGTTTAATGTCTGATTTATCAGTTGCTTTGTGTCGGCTGCAGGGGTATATAGAGTAGTAATTAGTAATGTGAGCATGGTGCTTAGATTATTAAATATCATTAGTTAGGCATATATGCTGCGGGACAGTAGAGGTGGGCCGCTAATGGTGATAGCTCAGTACGGGTATTCCTCCACGTTAGTATATATTCCTAAGATAAATTCATAGGGAGGGTACTCCTCCGTATTTAGCCCCGGTTGGACAGCCATGACAGGTTGTCGTAAGAAACTCGGCAACCCAGGGTGATCTCTCGAAGTACCAGGAGGACACTGTTAGGGGGTATTGGCCACATGATTGTACATTAGCAGATGTAAACTAGGATTTGAGTGTATACTAGAAGTATAGAAATTTAATACTTTCTATTTCTTCTCCCACTTAGTTAGAATTATTTCGTGATGAGGATTTAATCAGCTTTGCTTCGTGTCACTCTACCCCTATATTACACTTAGCCCCTGCTTAGGCTTTGACAATTATAAGTAGTATATGTATAAAGTACATTAGCAAAGTTCACTCTTATTATCTTCCCTTGGGAATAAAAATATGATACCTTGGAATACTTCCGGGTGAAATGCTACAATGGTATATCCGTGCGCTTGCGGATTACTTCTGTAACCATAAATATACCAGAACTATTTCTGGCGCCATTGTTGGGAATGAATATTTCCAGTAATGTCGTTAAGAAATACCAAGAATGTTTATATGGATCAATATATTTATATAAGTTTGTACTAGAGTATTAGCTAGTACAATATCTTTCTTGCTCTAAATACTGTCGCATCAGCTACATTCATAATATTGTCTTCAATTAATCTCTTAAACTCTATAGATAGTATTACTCCACCATCGATTGGGCGTGTTTAGGGTTTATTATTCTTTGATATATCTACTCCATAGCCGATTTGGTCGAACTTCATCGGCTGAGACCATCAACGATACGCTATCGGCCTATCGGCCGATCGGCTATCGTTCAGCTGATTCTGCTTTTATTCTTTCTTGCTGATTGCAGTATCAAATCAGCTGGCACACCCTTGATACACTCAAGGCTAGCCTTGGACTTGCACTTGAGTGTTGGCAGCTGTTATTGACAAATTTTATGCCGCCAATACTTGCATAAATTAAGAAAATAAAACATCCAACATAGTGATAGGGTTTAATTCTGACATGTTCCACAAGTGTTCGCATATATTTGGATGCAGGTAATATACCGCCAAAGTTGGACCAAAAATAGATTTAAGTGAAGGAGAAATCCTGTCCATACAAGGAGTAGCCCAGAAACTATACTGAAACATACTCAATCAGGCCTTCCACTCGAAGAATTGGACAAAGGAGGTAGAGAGGCAGCAATAGGCCAAGGCTTGGGCCTATTGGGCCAGCCATGGGTTCGGCCGAACCCATGGTTTGGCCGAACCACTCTTGCAGCCGTCTGATCTGGGGGTTTGTCGTGGACGGTCTAGATGAGCTCCTGAATGATGGTTGGAGGGCAAAAGTGACTTTTCGAGTTCTGTAACTGTCATACCTACCCCTATATAAGGACTTCACCTCTTCACTACACTCACGCACTCCAAGCTTGAGCTGAATTATAAGACGCTCTATTGTACTTTATTGTATACTAGATTAGGGAGAGAGTAGAGTAGAAGAACTCGGAGGAGTTCTGGAGTTGTCGGTAATCCTCTCCTTATTTCTTTTGCTCTGTTAATTACTCTAATTATAATATAAATATCTTTTGAGTAATTTAGTTTTGCTTGGTGAGAATTATTTCTTGGTTAGTTCCTAATCAGCATACGGGATCATCGTTCACTATAATCAACTAAAATATAGTGATTTACTTTAGTGTGTAGCTAGCATTAAAATAAGTAATTAATCAGCTTAGACGCAGTGTTTAGGTAGTTAATTTCCGGTGTTTGCTCCGCATCCTACAGCAGGTGTGAGGTGGGTGTAGAGGTGGTGATAGCCCTCATTATCACTGAAGTCCTCTCTGTCCGGGTGTGCAGTAGAGCGATATCTAGGAGCAGCGAACTGGCCAGTGCCCGAAGTATCGTGTTAGGATTAAAGTTAAGCTTTTTGTAGACAATGTTTCTTACCGGTCAATCCTCTCTATCGTTTTGCCTATCCATAGCTTTGTGTCCTTGGATGAACCTGATTTAGAGTTGGCACACACTTTTCCTGTGGAAAATCGATACCTGAGAATACTCCTGGGTGAAGTGCTACATCGGTATTTTCTGTGCGAATTTTATCTGTGAGGTTAAGTGCAACATACCCAAATTCTAGACCTTAAAAATTTCATGTCAAAATAGTTGGAAGCTAAAGCTTGGGTGGTGACCATTGTTGTGGAAGCGAGATGGGGACAAACTAGAGCGATTCATATCTTGTGGGTAAAGCTGTACAAACTCTGCAGAGTTCTCTAAACTAATCGATTAGCCGTGCTCATGGTCAAGAGTGCTTTGG